CGGACGCTGAACGAAACTGGGGGATTTGGGAGAAGGAGGCGTCGGCTATCCGGCTGGCTCTCTCCACTTGGAGGCAGTGGTTGGAGGGGGCTCAACTGCCATTTGAAGTCTGGACTGACCATAAAAATCTGGAAATGCTGAAATCCCCCCGTTCTCTAAACGCAAAACAACTTCGTTGGGCGGACTTCTTTGCTAAGTTTCGATTCACTCTTCGTCATTTTCCTGGGACGGCTAATTCCCTGGCAGACGCGCTCTCACGCCTCCCACAGCATGACAGTCAGCGTGAGGTCATCATGGACTCTGTTTTCTCCCCCTCCCACCTGGGGGGGGCTGTTGTCACCCGCGCGCAAGCGCGCTCAATTCCTCGCTCTGATGAGACTTCGCCTTCCCTTTTCCCTAGGGGGGGGGGGCCTGGGTCCAGAAATATGTTTCTGCTTTTACTGATGAAGATAATGCCTCCCTGCGGGCATTGCCGGATTATGTCCGTAGCCCAGAAGGTCTGATTTATTCTGGGGACAAACTGTATGTGCCTATTTCAATGAGGAGGGAAGTGATGGATTCTGCTCATGGTTCCAGACTGGCAGGACATTGGAGTTTTGTTAAATCACTGCAACTCATCCGCAGACAGTTTTGGTGGCCACACATGCGAAAAGACCTATTGACTTTTGTTCGGTCCTGTCAGACCTGTGCCTTAACTAAACCCAGGGGGGGCAAGCCTCCCGGTCTTCTGCAACCACTCCCTACTCCATCGAGGCCTTGGGAAGTGGTGTCCATGGACTTTATTACTGATCTCCCGTTGATTTGTTTTCTAAGCAAGCTCATTTTGTGCCTTTTCCTTCCTTGCCTACAGCTCAGAGGTTGGCGAAATCGTTTATGTCTCACGTGGTGAAAATTCATCAATTACCTGCTAAATTAATTTCTGACAGGGGGACCCAATTTGTTTCTAAGTTTTGGAGGGAACTTCTTTCCATTTTAGGGGTGGAACAAGGGCTCAGCAGCGCGTATCATCCTGAAACGGACGGTCAAACGGAACGAGTTAATCAGACCCTGGAGCAATATCTTCGTTGTTTTACTAATTATCAACAAAATGATTGGTGTGAATTGTTGCCTCTTGCTGAATATTGTTATAACAACACTGTCCATAGCTCCACGGGCATGTCTCCTTATAAAGCTGTTTCTGGTTACGACAGCCCCCCCCTCCCTTTCTTGGAGGGGATGGGCCAACGTCCTGTGGGGGATGCTGATACCTGGTGTATGTCCTTGCAAAAAGCATGGCCTCTGCTATGCCAAACACTTGACGCAGCCAAGGCTGCTTACAAGACCCAGGCAGACAAGGGTAGGGTGGTGGGGTTTGATCTGAAACCTGGGGATCTTGTGTATGTCTCGACCAAGAACATTAAGATGCTGCGACCTAGCAGGAAATTGGGGTGGAAGTTCATTGGTCCATTCAAAGTGCGTAAAGTCATAAATAATGTGGCGGTTGATGTTGTTTTGCCTAAGAATTTACGTGCTCTGCATTCTGTTTTTCACATGAGCCTGTTGAAGAAGGATCCTGGCCCGTCTCCCTGGAGACCAGCAGTTACTCCTCCTCCACCTGTCATTTTGGAAGGGGATGAACATTTTGAGATCGCTGATATCCTTGATTGTAAATTGAAACGTGGTAAACTCTGGTACCTTATCGAATGGGTTGATTTCGGTCCCCAGCACCGCGAATGGGTGGAAGAAGGGGATATTCGGGCCCCTTACCTGATCCGTAGTTTCCACAAGAGGTTCCCGGACAAACCGGGAGGTCTCCCGCCCAACCCGGGAGATCTCCCGCCCGACCCGGGAGGTGTGTTTTAAGTGTATTTTAAGGGGGGCAGTATGTCAGCAAGCTGCCATTCTGTTTTCTGTGACCTCTGTGTACATATCCTTACCCTGTTGCACCCGGCTTGTTTTTACTATCCTGCTTCTGTGCTGGAATGCATAAGATAACTACTGGTGGACGTGTGTGGGAGACGATGCTGTAATGCTTGCCTATTGCTATCTCATGAGAACTGCACCTGTGTTTTGTCTGATGTTCTGCCTGGTTCCCATGGACTGGGCGCGCAACCGTTTCATTAGCCCGCCAGCGGGAATATTATTCATTGGATATGTATCTGTTTGAATTTCCTTTATTATGCTCGCCCTAACTGTGTATCCCCAGTTCTAACAAAGAACGTGTTTGAGTATGTCTTCAACGCTTTGAAATAAATTTTGCTTTTCTTGAAAACGTGGATTTATTCTCGATGCTTGGGGATTCAACAGAAGCAAGACCAGAGCAGGGGCTGCTGATCAGATGTCTCAGGAGAAAGCAGACGGAGAGATGGCAACACCAAGTGAAGAGGTCTTGCATCTCTAGCTGCAAATTAAGCAGATGGAACTTGAAAAAGAGGAGAAGGAGAGAGAATACCACCTACAGATGGCCAAAATGCAAGCCGAGAAAGAGGAGAGAGACAAGGCAGCCCAGAGAGAGCTGGAAAGGGAGAGAATGCTGAAGGAAGAGAGAAAAGGAAGAGAGAGAGAGAGAGAAAGGGCAGCCCAAATAGAGCTGGAGAGAATGAGGATGGCGCATGAGCTTGAAATGGCAAAGTTGGGAAGAGAGCCACCTTCACTTCCTCCAGATGCTAATGTACAAGGGAATAGAAGGAAATGTCCTCTGTATAAGGAAGGAGATGACATCGAGGCCTTCCTTCAGAACTTTGAACAGGTCTGCATAAACTACAAGGTTCATGAAGAACGGTATATGGAAAAGCTGAGACCGCAGCTGTGTGGAGTCCTGGCTTCAGTGTCGGGCCAGATGGAAGGTGAAGAGAGGACCAATTATAAGCTCTTCAAACAACGAGTGCATGAGAGAGTGGGATTCACTAAAGAAGGGGCCTGAAAGTGCTTTAAGGAGATCAGGCTGGAAGGTAGAGAGCCCTACCCACAGCTGATGTATAGACTGGGAAGAGCCTATGATTTATGGGTAGAGGTTGCTGAGGCCAGGACCATGGATGACATCAAGGCCCTGATGTGCATCGACAGGTTCCTGACTCTTCTTCCAGAGCATATTAGGCGCCCCCTTGTGGACAAGAGTCCTTCCACTCTCTGGGAAGCAGGACAGTGGGCCGAGTGACTGGCTGAAGCCTACGGAGGGCAGAGGTAAAGCACCCCTCATGACTGGGGTAAGAGGGAGTCTCCTAAGTCCCCACCTCAGCCTGGTAAGCCGTCAGAGAGGAAAGGAGAGCCGCCACAACAGCAGCAGAATGTTCCCTCAAATACCGGGGTGAAGTCACCACATGAGGAGAGGAAAGTGCCACGGTGTTTTGCCTGCAACCAACTAGGTCATATCCGGAAGCAGTGCCCTAAGAACGGAACCAGCGTGCACCACATGATGCTGGAAGCCAACCAAGCCATTCCTCCTATATTCGATCCAGAGTATATTCCCCAGTGCCACTGGAAGAAGGTCCGGGTGGATGGCCAAGAAGTAGCAGCCTGGCGAGATACTGGTTCCCTCCTAACTACAGTGTATCGCTCACTAATCGATCCCAAGTACCTCATCCCAGGAGAAGAGAAGCGGGTAAGGCGTCTGCACAAAGCAGAAGGGATTGTGCTCCCTGTGGCTCAGCTACTGATTAGCTGCCAAGGCTGGGGTGGATCGTGGAAGGTAGCCACCAAATCAGTGAAATGCAGTCCAAGATAAAACTGTCTGCAACTGCCTCCTCAAGATGGAAAGTGAGGGGTCCAGGCACACCCAAGTGTTTTTGGTTGATGTGACAATCAGGAGGGGCCTCTCCCTGTGGTTTTCATTCCCGGGGCAGGAACATATGGGAGAAGACATTGGATACCCATGTAGGGCTTTAAAGGACAAAACCATCTCCTTGGATCAGTAGCTGGTATAATTCCTGTAGTATCAGGGTCACATGCTCCTGATAGCTGGTTCCAATCAGCAGTCTAGCTTCAGCTTCCCAAGGCTCTTCACGGCTAGCTCCAGGTAGAGCACATTTCATTAGTCCAGTCTAGATGTAACTAAGGCATGGATCACTGTGGTTAGATCTGACTGTACCAGGAATTAGTGTAGCTGATGCACCAGCTGAAGTTGTGCAAAGGCACTTCATACCACTGCAGCCACTTGGTTTTCTAAAGTGACTGTTGTCTCAGGTAGCACTCCCAGGCGGCAGACCTGACTTTTGAAGGGGAGTATAATCCTATCCGAGACAGGAGAGATCTGAAATCCCTAGTCTGCCTTTCTACAAATCCATAGAACCTCTGTCTTGTTAGGGTTAAGTTTCAGTTTGTTCCAACGCAGGCATAATTAATGATGAGGTATAATAATTTAATAATGATGAGGTGTAACAAAAGATGACTTACTCCCTTTCTTTCTAGAGCCCGGAGAGAGCATATGAAAATAGATTCAGACCTCTGCATCATCCCACTGAATGTTCTTCCATAGTTTTACACTTCCTTGAAGGGTTTCTGAGTTTTTACATTTGGATCCTCTGTTCTTGGAGCTATAGCAGAGTAAGCTTGATTTCCATGGTGACTTGACTTATTCAAGCATGGTGTGCTCAGTCACCTGTTTACCAGGCAGCAATACTGAGCAGGTCTGCCTGTTTTGGTCTCAGGCCCCATCACAAGATGTACCGTGCTGCCCTATAGACTCCACAAATACTGTCATCCAAAAAGATTTTCAGGATCTTTAGTAAAGGTGTAGAGTGGGTGTAGCTATGTTGAATTCATGAACTTCACTGTTTTCCTGACATAATTCACTTTTATGGGGTTTTTTGTATATTTGCAAGCTCAAATTCTCATTATTGATCAGTTTTTTAAAAAGATTAAAAATACCAAAATATCATCAAGTTTAAAATATAGATGTCAGCCAGATGTTTCTGGCAGGTAAAGCCAGTTTTACTGTTATTTTCTTTGGGTTGAAAGTTACACTCCAGAATCACAAACCTTTTCAACATTCAGTATTTGATGTTATCCATTTTTTTCCACAGTATATCCATTCATCAGGCATAATTCATAGGGTAAGTGAAATGTGTCATTTCAGTTTCTGCTTGTTTAAAATGTTCTACTCACAGAACCAAACCATTTGAAAGGGGTTGCCAGTAAAAGGAAAATTTGGTCTGTCACTACTGAGCACTTACGATACTATTAATTAGAAAAAATACAAAAGTACACTTATGTAAGCTTGATGCCAGCTATAGTAAGGAAGAAAATGAATGTGAAATAACTGTGTTACTGCATAGCACTATTAGTTCTACAATATTTATTAAGCATATCCCTCATCCAAGAACAATGGCATTGCTGGTTTAATTAACACCTGATGCTGTTACTTGTGTTTATATATCTCAGCTTATAATGTTACTTAGAATTATCCTCTTGTAGCTAGTTGAGAAATCATTGCTAATTTATTCTAATATGATAACAAGGAGTGAAACCGCTCTTTAATACTAAATTGCCAGGAACACAGGTATATGTGTCTTTAGTTTGCTCAATGAAAGTATTATAACTTGTTATATATGTGTAGCCTTGGCTGCAGTCAGACGTGCAGTTTGATCTAGTGTGGCCCCACCTCTAATTGATCCAGGGTTTTTTGCAACAGAGAATTGTGATCAGACTCACCCCCTTAACACTCTTCAAAGTGCTTTTACCCTGACCTTGCGCAATCAGACACGGCAGCCAGGGAGTGGGGCCATTGGCCTTTTTTTTTTTAGTTTGTCCTCCGAGCATATGCACAAGCTCTGATGAATCTCCTGGGATATGTAGTTCACTGCCATCCTCCGTCTCTAATCTTTTCAATTAACCTCTTCCCCAAAGCACAGAGGAGGAGAGAGAGAGAGATGTAAATATGCAGTTATGTGCACATCGCTAGCTAGTAAAAAATGGTGGCTGGAAAACAAGAGAGCAGTCAGACCTTCCTGACAGCTTGGCTGCACAACAGAGTGACCAGACAACAGGAAATCCGTTCTGAAATCAGCTCAGCCCCAAAGGACAAGACTTTCACAGGAATCGAAACACACAGTAAAGGGGGTGACGGGAAGCAGACTACTGGGGCACAACAGACAGATGTTGCTGTCTGCTCGTGCTTTTTCAATCTGGAAGGGAACAGCAACGGCAATGGATCAAATTGCACATGTGATCACAGCCCTTGTGTCATAAAGTATAAGAATCCTGAGCTAAATCTTTGTTTACTTGCCAGGCTTTAGTCTGTAGCCAACCAAGGCTACTGCCTATAGAGAATATGGTGGCCTACTCTCATCATTTGTAGGGACAATGGCAACATACAGTCCTGGGCTTCATTTAGGTCTCAGTCTAGACTTGACATGTTTGGCTTCAGTGCAAGCCCAGTGAGGCCCTGCAGGATGATCTACTCTCTGAGCCTGCAGTGAATGCCCATAAAACCTGTCACCAAGAGCTCCCTCCCAGCCTACATGCTGATAGATCCTAGAAGAGTTTCTCTAGATCTTCGACACTTCAGAAATTCAGTGGAAATGTTATCTAAAATTTTGCAACCTGAAATTTGTTTACTGCTGCTGTTTGTAGCTGAAGCCACCTCTGTACAGGCCTGACCGATGGCATGTTCATGGTTTGGGGAGTTCACTTGCAGCCAAATTGCCACTTTTTGTATTTGATCTTTGAGTTACCTAAAACAGTGGCCCCACCCAAAACAACTGTTTAAGGTTTCAGGTGAGGCCAATGTTTTAGGTAACTCAAAGCAGCAAATACAAAGAGTGGCCATTTAGATGCAGCTGAGCTCCCCAGTCCTTGACACATGACACCAGGTTTTAAAGAAAATGCATTGTTCTTTCTGTTGATAACTCCATTTCAGATTGGTTTATTTTATAGGACCTAAAACCTGGAAACCTAGCAGTAAATGAAGACTGTGAACTGAAGGTAAGAAATAGAGTGTGAAATATTGGCAGAGGTTTTGTTTCTTTCTAATCATTCTATATCGCTGCTCAGAAATGGAAGCGGATATAGGGGATTTGGAGAGGATATGAAGCAAAGGAAATGTAATTTGGTCCCCTAAAAGTAGGGCAAGGATAAAGGATACTTCAGTTATTCTATGCTAGTCCAATTTTACCTGCACTAAAGAAATGGAATACTGCATCAGTAGCCTGAAATAATTCAGACTGTATAATTATATACTGCATTCCACTGAAGTAAGTTAGCAAAAATCCCATTGATTTAATGAGGTTTGCACCCAATGTCTTACCCACTGTCTTAGGGCTTGTGCATAATTGCTTGGGTTGATAAGAAGAAGAGAAGAGATTAGATTTATACCCCGCCCTTCACTACCCAAAGGTGTCTCAAAGCAGCTTACAAACTCCTTTCCCTTCCCCTCCCCACAACAGACACCCTGTGAGGTAGGTGGGGCTCAGAGAGCTCTTGACAGAAACTGCTCTTTTTCAAGAACAGCTTAAGGCCATCCAGCCAGGTGCAAGTGGAGGAGTGGGGAATCAAGCCCAGTTCTCCCAGATTAGAGTCCGCGCACTTAACCGCTACACCAAACTGGCTCTGGGCAACCAATTAGTTTGGAAAAATATTGCATGTCACCTAGAACAGGGACGTCAAACATACGGCCCATGGGCCAGAACCGGCCTGTCCAGGGTTCTTATCTAGCCTGCAAACAACTGGTGTGAGGGAGGAAAAACGGAGGCTGCTCAGGGGTGGGTGGGTGAGTGGGCACACATGGTGGGGTGCATGTGGTTGAAGCTGTTTGGTGTAGTGGTTAAGAGCGGGAACTCTAATCTGGGAGAACTGGGTTTGATTCCCCACTCCTTCACATGCAGCTGCTGGTGTGACCTTAGGTCAGTCATAAGTTCTTTCAGAGCTGTTTTCTCAAGAACAGTTCTCGGGAGAGCTCTCTCAGCCCCACCTACCTCACAGGGTGTCTGTTGTGGGGAGGGGAAGGGAAAGAGATTGTAAACTGCTCTGAGATGCCTTTGGGTAGTGAAGGGCAGGGTATAAATCCAATCTCTTAAATCTCTCTGTCAAGAAATAGAAAGGAAATGGCTTGGGGGGGGGGCTGTGAGGATGAGGTAAAATTGTGAGGGAATGGCAGTGAAATTGCCCTCCCATGTCTTTTGTCCGCAGCTCAGCAAGGATTAGCAAGGCCATTACATTGGGGGAGGGCAGAGCCAAGTGGCCAGTGCTGCCACTGCTGCACCAACCAGCTTTGCATTTTTTAAGAGAGGAGAAATGCTCCATAGGCCTGTCATCAGTGAGGAAACAGTAGCTAAAGCACTGCTATCAAAGCAAGCAGATCTTATTCACCCATGACACTACGAAGTGGAGTATAAGCCTGGTGGAAACATGCCTGTCTCTTAGAGAAGATATCAGATCCTGGGGAGTGCTTCCAACCTCTATGTTCATTGTTGTTCACAGGTCCCACATCACTGTCACAACCCTCTTCAAATAAACACTTTCCATGCTCTGCTAGCCACAATTTACAGTGCACTATGCAAAATCATGCACATCCTCAGATTTCTTTGTCTTTGTCTTTTTGTCTTTTAAATGGCAATGATATACAATCCAGCTGTCAACCTTTTTGGAAGAGAATGCAGTTTCATTTGAAGCCGTGTACATGCTGAACTCTCCAATTACGATTCTAGAGAGCTGGGATGGTCCACAGAAAAATGTTAACAGTGGCTCTTTTTATTAGGGCCAGGGGTCATTCTGTAGAAAAAAAGGTGCAGGAGCTCATTAGCATAACTCATTAGCATAACTCATTAGCATAGGTTATTTGCATATGCCACACCCCCTGACATCACTGGAAGTATGTCAGAAGGCAAAAAAGAAGGAAGGAAGGAAGGAAGGAAGAGACAGAGATGGGAAGGAAGGAAGGAGAAAGAAAGCAAATAGGGAGAGAGGAGTGGAAGGGAGGGAGGGAGGGAGGGAGGGGAGAGCTGGAGAGGCTCAGGGGAGAGGCAGGGATGTCTGCCTCCCTGTCCTTCCTGTCTCCAGCCTGGGGGGCTGCAGGGCACCTGAAGAAGATCGGGCAGGGAACCCAGGGCATTTTAATCCCCCCACCAGTCTCTCCGCAAAAGCGGAGAGGCTCAGGGGGAAACAAGGACATGTCTCCCTGCCTCCTCTTCCTTCTCCAGCCAGCCCGCCATGGCAGGGGGGCTGCAGAAGGGAGGGGAGGTGGGCAGACATGTCGGGGTTCCCTGCTCAATCTTCTCCAAGTGCCCTGCGGCTGTGGGGCACCTGAAGAAGATCTGGCAGGGAACCCAGAGTATTTTAATCCCCCCACCAGTCTCTCCGCAAAAGCAAAGAGGCTCAGGGGGAAAGGAGGGCATGTCTCCCCACCTCCCATCTGCAGCCCACCTCCCATCTATGTGCATCCTGATTACCCCATTTTGGCTGATTCCAGGTCTTCCTTTTGATGTCCAAAGGCCTCTATATCCACCTTCCCTTGGCCATGGATCTACTCCACAGAGGTCCTATGATTCATCACAAGGTGCACAGACTCAGGCTGACGACTTGGCTGCTGAACATCCCTGTTTGAGTTCTCTGACTGACTAGCCAATGTCGTACTTTAGACCTCCCACTAGGTGGTCTTACATGAGTAAATGGGGTCATTTTTCTACCTGGGCCAGGACACAGGGAGTTACCGCACAGTTGTGTCCTATTGCCCTAGTGTTTGACTGTTTAATGACTCTTAAAGAATCTGGTTTAGCCGCTTCATCCCTGAAGGTACATTTAGCAGCCATATCTGTTTACCATGTGAAGGTTCAAGGCACAAGCTTTTTTCACACCCAGCGTCTAGGAGTTTTTTGTAGGGGTTGTTTAGCTTGTTCCCACCTCAGGCACCTGTAGTACCTCAGTGGTCCTTATCAGGTCCTCTTCCAACTCTTGCTAGCTCCCTTTGAACCACTTTGGTCATGTAGTTTGTGACTCTTCTCTTGCAAGGTTGTGTTTTTGGTAGCAATTACCTCAGCTAGGAGAGTGGTGGGAATTGGCAGCTTTGAGGGCTGAACATCCATTTATCAAGTTTCAGACAAGTCATGTAGTGCTGAGACCCAGTTTACATTTTTTACCTAAAGTAGTCTTTAGTTTCCACCTGGCACAAGACGTCATTCTTCCAGTGTTTTTCCCATCCCCCACTTTGGATGCTGAAAGGATACTACATTCCCTCCCTCCTACCCCACTGTGAGCTCATGGATGTTCTTCTATTTGTGAGACTTGCAGCGGCTCAGGAGAACTGAGGGAAGGGGGGGAGCCACTGTTTGGGTGGGAAGATGGCCCCCAATATGCTCTGCAGGGGAGGGGCTCCCCTCAGAGTGTAAAAAAATGCCAGATCTAGCTGGAAGAGATCCTCTGATGGCTGGCCTGCACAAGCATGGTCCCAATGTATGCCTGCACAAAAGACACCTTAATGAACAACAGTCACAAGTGCAACACTGTTTACTTTAATGATGAAAAGTATTTTATTTAAGTTTACTATGGCACAGCAGTTCACTGGCATTGCAAATGAGATATACCAGATATAAATTTTAATACAATGTTTATGTTTTTCCTGGTACTTGGCTTTCAATTGCAGTAACTACACAATAGGATATGTGTTTTTCTGTTATTCTCATTTTGAATTTATTTGTGGCACGTGTAAATCAGATGTGCATTTGGCTCTCTATAGATTTTGGACTTTGGACTAGCAAGACATACAGACAGTGAAATGACTGGATACGTGGTTACCAGGTGGTACAGAGCCCCAGAAGTTATACTAAATTGGATGCATTATACTCAGACAGGTAATTTTGGTCATGTGTTTGTGCTAAGATCAACACTCTCTTTCCACATTCAGTTTTCTGTGACTATTGACCTTTGAATCTTGATTGAATCTTGAATATAACTAGATCACTTCATCAAAATGCAAACTAGTGTCATGTCATCTTTATAGAATGCTTCCCTGTGGATATACTTGCTTCTTGGTAAACGTTTTGTAGTTTTCTGGTGTGCTATTTGCATTTGTCAACCTATGTTAAAAACTTCTTGCAAAAAGGATAGTTCTTCAGTTATTAACCTCCCTGAAGGATCATCTCTCAACTTTCAGGTCTCTGGAGAGAGGATCCTATCTCTTAGCATCTCCCTCTGTCTCAGGAGGTAAAGGAAGTTTTTTTGTCATTCTCGCTATTCAGGACATCATTGTATGGCAACTAATCTCTGTTGGGATCTGACTGGAGTTCAGTCTGGCCATCGTACCCTCTGAAGGGATTCTGTTACCTTCTTGGAGTTCTGTTCATCTTGAAGTCCCCAACAGTCTTGGCATAGATAGAATCTTGTTGCATCACTTGGCTTTCAATTCCTGATTCTGTTTAGTCTGCCCAGTTTTAGCTATTTTTGCCTCCAGCACCCCCACACGTACCCTTAGCCTTTCTCTAAACTCTCTGTCTCTATGAACATTGAGCACTGTTTGATTTCCTGGCACATATCTAATCTAAATTACACCTCCAAAAACTTGCACCACAGTAAACCCAGATGGTCTCTAAGATGCAACTTTTTATCTTATTGCAGTAGTCATGTAAAAACTAATGACACAAACCAGTTCCTGTCCTCAGAATGCAACTAGCTGTGTTCTGTCCTCCTTAGAGTTGCCAAGAAAGAAGACTTTTGAAACCTAGGCCTAGAAACCTGCAAGTATTTATCAGGTTACTGGCGAGGAGTCATTCTCTTTATGGAAATCAAATACCCAATTTATTTTGTAGTTTGCCTTTTCAGATTTTGTTTTTCTGCATTAAGAATAGATAAACTGAATGTTGAGGTATTGCATGGCAATTTATTGTAACCATTTTCCATATTTCAGTTGACATCTGGTCAGTGGGTTGTATAATGGCTGAGATGATAACAGGAAGGCCGCTCTTCAAAGGCAATGATCGTATCCTTTCATGATAAATGCCTGACATTGTGATGTAGAGGTATGTTAGAATTCAGGTGCCAAAGAGAGTGAGTTCAGACACATGAAATAAATAACCATCTGCTGAGTTACATCCTGAAATATGACTTATTTGTAAGTTCAATTTTTTTGTATTTTTATTTCATTCTCTTGTTTTTCTTGGATCTGTGCTGTCATAGGTAGAATTCACTACATAAATGTATGCAGATGTTGTCTAAAGTTCAGGAGGGGTTAAAAAGTTGTTAGTTTACCATTCACTCATCGCAGATAGAAATCCATATTTTTATCTGTTTCTCTTGGCACATAGGTGTTGTCTATGTTACTGTTGTCTTAATAGAAAATCATCTTAATGTTTCTAGGGTTAGGGTGCCTGTATATGTTAATGTCAGCTAAAATTTTCAGTGTCCTGTACATTCCTTCCTTTTTTCCTCCTGTGAGTATTGCAAATCAGTGTTTGTAAAGACCTTTGGAAGTTTGGCGCAGGTGGCTGCAGACCATTTTAAGAAAGAAAACAGAAAATTATCTGTTATCTGTATGTGGCTCTTATGTCACTTCTAGGATATTATCACTTAAGCAGTGGTAAAACCGTAGCTACAGAGGAATGTTTGATGAAGTACCATCCCTGCTGCTTCCTAAGACCTCTTCAGACATCATTCTAGATCAAAGGGTGTAGCTGTGAGAAGATACAGATGATGCCTCTGGGATATGTGAACAAATTTCCTTTGTAGAACAAATTTCCTTTTTCCTCTTGTGATATGCTCCAGTTTCATGACCAGTAGCAAAACACTTCATTGATATCACAATTTCCATTTTGAAATACTGACTAAAGATTTGACTCCTGACTTTGGCAATCAGATCTGGACCAGCTCACAGAAATTATGAAAGTTACAGGAACACCAACTCAAGATTTTGTTCAGAAACTTCAAAGCCAAGATGTAAGTAGTTTGTATTTCCCTATCTTAGAACCAAACTATAAGTTTAGAAATAGAAAGTGCTAATTTCTTGAACTGTAGCAGTTCAGATTTAGGATGGGACATTGTACCCTTTGAGTGCCACATAATCCAAAAAATTGAGAGGGGGGAAGTCCTTCTCTCTGCATGTCAAAAATAGAAAGAAAGTTGAGCTAGAGTCTTTCTACATGACGTGCTAACTTTGGACGAGCAATTTTGGTTTTTTTTAGTGTGTGTGTGTTCAGATGTGTGATTTCCTACGCAAGTATGAAATGACGCAGTTCTAAGATATGTCACATGACATGTCTGAACTTGAGAATTAGACTGAATTTCAAGGGATCTTTCAGATAATGGTTCTTTAGTATGGTCAATGTATACACAGATAGCTCCATCCAAAAAGCCTTGGCCAGGGTACAGGCTCCATGTAGTTTAGGTGAAAGCTCAGAAAAAATAGTGTCTGGTCAAGGAAATATTACTATTATTTCTGATGAAAATATGTTCAAAACAAAGTGGAATTCAACATGTATATTTTTTGTAACGAGTAGTTTCTCTTTGAATATTCAATCTTCAGCAGTTTGTATACAAAATTGTATTCTAGGTTAATATAACAAAACCTCTCTTCATAGTCTGAATTCCTCTGGGACTGAATTTGAAGAGACACAAACAAATACCTCTTGCACTCCCATTACTGAGAATACAGTTTTGAATGTATAATTTGGATCTTTTTCAAGGCAAAAAACTATATCAAAAGCCTCCCAAAAGTGCAGAAGAAAGATTTTGCTGCCATCTTGAAGTATGCAAATCCCTTAGGTAAGCCAATATACATACACACAAATGGTGAAGCTGTGTTATAGTAAGGCAGTGATCAGTTAGTGTAGCCCTCTACTTTTAGTTACTTCCTGTCCTTTCCTTACAATTTTTTGTCTATGTGCTGTATTGTGAACCTTTTAACCTTTTCCTACAAATAACTTTTAATGAAAAGTTTACCATGCAAAAGGGTGTGGCCAACTCTTTAATCAAGGTGCAGCAAAACAATTTGGCATAGTTGCACTAGTACGGGGAAAATGTTCTCAAAAGTGGTGTGCTTGAAACAGAGATTTCACACTTTAATGTTATATGTCTCTTTGGATAGTTTAAGTAATTAAGTTCTTGGATAATTAATAAGAAATCATAGTTATTTCATACAGGGGATATTTCATACAGATATCTCAACAGTATTCTATGAAGGCGAAGTAGTTCTTGGCATCCCGAGGCAATGTTTTAGAAGTGCCATGGCTCAGTGGTTAGAGCATCTGCTTTGCATTTTTTTTTTTAATTGAACTATTAGCCTGCCCTCCCCCACAAACAGGCTCAGGGTGGGTTACAAAGAGCAGTAATGCACAATGCAGTATTTAAAATCACATAATTAAAACCCAATTTATGGTAAGTGTTAGATCCCAAATCAGGAGAATAGATCCACATTCAAAAAGAAGAAAGATTTATTTCCAAAGCATGGTTGATCACGAACATACAGAGATTGTTAAGAATAGCTACAATACCCAGGGAAGGTGTATTAAAAGGAAATTCAAACCAGGTTTAAACCAATGAACATATTTCCCTCGTCAGGTTCACAGATTAGAAAAGGCGCGAAGCGGGCTGAGAACAGCAACGGCCAATTTCATAAACACAGGTTGAGTTCACACGGGAAACCTAAATAAGCCAGAGCTTCAAGACATAACATCACATCACACCAGCTGGAGACCTTGGCAGTTACAGAGGCACTACATGAACAGGATAAGGCTTTGGGAGACAGGGAGGGGGATGGGACACGTCACAAGGAAATGGCAGCTCGCTGGCAGTAAGATCAATTACAATATCAAGAGTGCAATCAATGGCAACCATTTGACTACTCCATCTCCTTCTGCTCCCACATAACGTCCCAGTGTCTAAGGTAGCTGGTAATTGACGTTGGTGAAACAGGCAGAGAGCAGACAATACAGATTGACGGCAATAGATGTTAACAGCAATACAGGGGAGACCAATGTAAATGGATCTCCGCCGCCTCAACCATGGGCTTGGTGGAACATCTTCTTGCATTAGGTCCTGCAGGGAGAGTGTTCCACCAGGCCGAGTGTTCCACCAGGCCAGAGTCAAAAAGGCTCTGGTACTGGTTGAGGCTAAGCGGATATCTTTAGGGCCAGGTATCGCCAGCAGATCTTGATCCATTGAGCGCAATGGTCTATGAGGGACATATTGGGAGAGACGGTCCTGCATGAGATGGTCCCAGGCTCAGTCCCTAAAACCTCCAAATAGAATGGTAAAAAGGTAAAGGTAAAGGTTCCCTTGCTCGAAAGCCAGTCGAATCCGACTCTAGGGTTGCGGTGCTCATCTCCGCTTCAAAGCCGAAGAGCCAGCGCTGTCCGAAGACGTTTCCGTGGTCATGTGGCCGGCATGACTAAACACCAAGGCGCACGGAACGCTGTTACCTTCCCACCGAAGTGGTCCCTATTTATCTACTTGCAATTTCTTGCTTTCGAACTGCTAGGTTGGCAGGAGCTCGAACTAGAGACAGGAGCTCTCCCTGTCTTGCGGCACCCGGGTCTTGAACCGCTGAACTACTGACCTTCCACAGCCTGCAGTTCAGCGTCTTAACCACTTGAGCCACCGCAGCTCCTTAAATAGAATGGTAGAGGATGTAAAAAAACCTTGACCTGAGACCTTGGAGAGCCACTGCAAGTCTTAATAGACAGTCTTGATTCAGTATAAGGCAGGTTCATATATTCATGTATTCAGGGAAGCATGTTAATTTGCAGCCCTTGTGCATATGTTCCTTGCTGCTAGGGGGACTTTATTATAAATTCTAACAACCTTTTACAGACTTAAGTTGTGCAACAAAATACACTTACAGCCTCTGGGCCATGACTGGACAACCAAGCTGCCTCTGAAGATGCACATGAAGTTGGCTTACACTGAATCAGACAGTTATTCTATCAAAGTGTGTACTTTGATTGGCAGTAAATGTCCACAATCGCAGGTGGCAGTCTATCACATCAGTTACAGCCTGATGCAGCCCTAATACCCCAGTCTAGCCTTATCTCATCAGTGCTTGGAAGCTAAGCAGGGTCAGCCATGGTTAGTACTTGGATGGGAGTCCACCAAGGAAGTCCAGGGTTGCTATGCAGAGGAAGGCAATAGGAAACCACCTCTGATAATCTTTTGCCCTGACCTGGATGGCCCAGACTAGCCTGATCTCATCAGATCGGGGAAGCTAAGCAGGGTCAGCCATGGTTAGTACTTGGATGGGGGACCACTTAGGAAATCAAGGGTTGCTATGCAGAGGCAGGCCATGGCAAAACCATCTCTGAACATCTCTCGCCTTGAAAAACTTATGGGGTTACCACAAGTCAGCTGCAACTTGATGGCACTTTCCACCACCATGACCCGATCCTTTTAACTGGAGATGCTGTGGATTGAAGCTGGTAAACATCTGTATACATAGCAGATGCTCTTCTACTCAACCATGGCCCCTCCCACACATGTGGACATTGCTGGTCCGGATTCTGAAAGTCTAAAAGTTCATTTTCATAAATATTTCAACTTTGCAATTATCATCAAGCTAAACTTTTAAATATTCTTAAACCTAACTTGCTATTACACAAGGTAGATTCAGTACCAGTGCTTGAACATAACCCCCCCCCCCCCTTTCACTGAGCCAGCAGTAAACCTTTTGGAGAAGATGCTGGTGTTAGATGCAGAAAACAGAATAACAGCCGCAGAAGCTTTGGCGCATCCTTATTTTGAAGCCATCCATGACCCTGAAGAGGAACCTGAAGCAGAGAAATATGATGATACTTATGACAACATGGATCTGCCCCTGGATGAATGGAAATGTATGTTTGGTATTGCTTCACTTAAAGAAAAGTGGTAGTTTAGAATATAACATTTATAGCCATTGTTGATTTTTAGTAAAAGAATATATAACCATTAATTTAAGAAAGCTAATGCAACAGACTTGTGGACTCTATGTGTCCTCCTTTTGCAATATTCTGTTCTTTTTTATTTTCCTTTCCCATTTTTCAAGTTTTTCTCTTTTCTAGAATAGTGAGGGGCATTGTAAAGTACCTCATGTAGAATCAGGTCACTGTTCATTCCAACAGGAAGAGGCTGTCCAGGATCTTGGCAAGAAATAGTTTCTAGCCCTGGTTCATTCAATCTTTTAAATTGCCGGGGATGTTTTTGTATACAAATCATGAGCTGTACCACAGAGTCATGGCCTGTTCTCAAATGTCATGTCACCTTTCCCTTCTCATCATTTTGGGGCCAGTGCTGCTGCTGTAGTTCCTGTCAAGCCAACTGTTGCCTTGCTCCTCTCTCCCTCTTGCTTTAGAAGTCCACTTGTCTAGTCATACAAGAGTTTCAACATACAAAGCCAGAAAAGAGCAGAAATGGTGAATTGAGTGTCCTTTGCAGTGGAGGATAAAGAATGCTTTGCTGACATGCTGAGCCTGGAACAGATACAGATGGAGTGGGAGTGCGTCATAACAATGACACCCTGGCTGTTCTTTTCCTCTTGGCTGTTCTAAGATTTTATAGGGTTTTTTAAGACAGGAAAACATCCCCACGGGATTAATAAAAGCCTAAAATTCTATAAGTGATTTAGAGCTTCATAGATTTCTCACCCATGTTGACTTTACCAGGGAGTGTCCTGTGCACACGAGTAGGAATCCCCAATAGATGCATGAAATGCTCCCTAATGCCAGGAAAAGAACAAAGTGTCCACACTTCACACAGTCCTCTCTGTATGCTGCAGAGCCCTTGTTAAAATAAACAGTACTTTGAAACACAGGCGGTTCCACGCTCAGGAAATCCCAGCATGTTTACATAGCCATGTTTCCTGTTCTTAAGCCTTGCTCACTTTTCCACTGCTTCCTGAAACCATGTCATGAACAGCAACCATATGTAGGTGTTAATTTTTTTCACCAGCTGATGGGTACAAATCATGCTGCTGTTAAAAATCTCTTCATTATTTTGATTACTGATTGGTCAAGCTCCTGCAGTTAGCTACAGATAAACCAGTTCTCAAATTGTGTGAACTATGGAGTGGCATTTATTTCCCTTTTTCTTTTAACTGATCATGGTTCATGGTGACATAGTTTCTGCAGTCTGATACAAATCATGATTATGAATTATGACAGCATTATTTTAATGTTTTGAACTCTTCCAGGCATTACATATAAGGAAATAATGAACTTTAAGCCTCCACAGTTGCCTGAATCAAAAGAAACAGCGGTATAACTACAAAGGACCATTTGCCTGGGAATCAAGTAAAGAAGAGTGTAAATTTTTTAATGTATAATTTAATTGTACAAACCTTTTTTAAATAAACTGGATACAATCTGTTTAGTCTGCATTGGATGTTATTAGTACTTCGGATTTTAGGGTGGAAGCTAGTGCGTTTGTTAGTAGCATTTCAAGGCCCTGGCTTCTATTTGCATCCCACATTTCCTCACTTAAAGAATTACATGCTTAAAAAGGTGAGGGTTTGCGTGTGTGGAAATCTACAATTCAAAATACATGCATTATTACAACTGTTCAAAAGGTTCCCTTTTGTGTCCACAATATCTGGGGCCCACTGTACATCTTTCATCTGCCTGCAAAATCCTGTAAACTTGTTAATGATAAGCCCTTTTCAGTTATATTCCTTTGGCTACACATGATCACTAAATCTAATTCCTGTTCTCTTTTACAGAGAAATATAAATACGCTCATATAGATGTATTATGGAAATAATGTAATTTGTGTTTCCTTATATAGAGAGTCTAAGTGATGAAGATGGTTTTAAAAAGCTACGTTTTTGACAGTAAGTCAATAAGTAAAAACCAAAAAAAATCAGGTAAAACAGTCTAAGGGGAGAAAGACCACTTTAAAAAAAACGTTTGGCATTTGACAATTATCCAGCAGGAAAATGCCAGTGTACTTTTTTAAGGGCAATGACAGGGTAACTGCTAGAGGTTGTTCTCAGACATGATTCCAAATGGTGTAAGGTGCTGACAGTGTAATTCTATGCATGTTTATTCAGGAGTAAGTCTCAGTATAGTCAATGGGAAATGTGCATAGGGTTGCAATCCTGGGAATCTCAACCTGGGAACTGACAGCCAGGCCCAGATGCCTTTGCTCGTAGTAGTTATTATGGCTGACACTCTGCTGTGGCTAGGCCCTGTCAGTGCTGGCGGTAAGAAGCCTTCTGGTAGCTCAACAGCTCTCTGATGATAAGGTTTCACCAGCAAGTTCCAAGTTAAGTGCAAAGGAACAGACATCTCTCTTGAAATTATTTTTGTTCATAATGGTCCTTTGTATAGTGGCACAGAGGATTTTAGCCAAGTGGGTTTTTTTTAAAGTTCGGTGTGGAAGATATATCAGATATATCAGATATATCAAAAGCATTATCTGAAGCAGACTTCAGTCCTTTAACAATTTACTCATGTGCCTTGACTTATTCTGTCAAAAGTTTCCGGCTTGGTTTATTGAATCTTTATATAAACTTTCTGGAAAAGCTAGGGTTGCCAGCTGTGTGCTGGCAGCCCTGTGTTATGGAAGGTTGGAGGGAAGTTGCCTTTCCTTGCTGGGAAACTTCTTTAGACCAAGAATTCCCTGGAAAGCACCTTAATAACCAGGTGCCTGGTGTCATGTGGTCCATGGGATCGCGAAGAGTTGGACTCGACTGTGCGACTGAACAACAACAAAGCCACCACTCAAGGATCTCCTGAGAACATCTGGCTTGACCTCATGGTACAGTACTAGAACGATAATGAAGTTACAGGGTGGAAACCCTGGAAAATACTTCCCTGGAAGTCTAATACAAATCAGTTATTTTTAAATTAGCCATTTCCATTGCTTTCACAAAATTGTTATGATCTTCTCCTGGTTAACCACTGGTATGAGGTTGGTTGGTTTACATACATTTCAAATACTATTTGCATTTATATGCTGCTTTCTTCCCCAATGGGAATCTAAAATAGCTGAGAACCTCCCCTCCTCCATTTTCTCACAACAACAGTCCTTTGAGGTAGGAATAACTGAGATACTGTGACTGGCCCAGGGGTTGTTGTGGTGTTGCCTCTGGGATTTAAAATGCATAAAGTCTAACCACAGAAGTGGGATGGCTGATTTTTCTTTAAGAAAAGATTTTTCTGCTCTACAAAAAAAAATCACTCTTTAATAGCTCAACAGCACCTGCTGGGGCCTGTATCCAGACAAAAGTGTAGTGTCATAACCCAAACCTGCTCTAAGCAGTTTGATCTATTGTGGTGTCAGGGTTGAGACATACCATTATCTATGGCTGATGATGCTCAAAGGCTTCTGCAGTTTTCTTTGTGTTTTCCATACCAATGAATCACATCAGCTGGAGAGAGAGAGGAGGTTGCCACCTACTGGCGAGTACCAGCTAGATTGCACATGAAACTTTCTTATAGTGACTCAGAGCTTTGGTCCACTAAAGTCAGTATCGCCTATGCCAACTGGCAGCGGATTTCCAGGTCTCAGGTAGAGGTCTTTCACATCATCTACTACCTGATCCTTTTACTGGAGATGTCTAGGATTTAACCTGGAGCCTTCTGTATGCTCTGCAACTAATCACCAGCCCCTCCCAGCGCTCACTGTTCAGGAATGTACTCAAACGCACCATCTACTTGGCCATCATTAAACTAATAGCAGCAGAAGTAATAGTAGGAGAACATAACTAATAGAAGACATTAAATATTTTATGATCACTTATGGGAAAGAAGCAAAAATGTACATTAGGAGCCTGAGCACATAATCATTAAAGTCAATGAAAGGACAGCACTTGAAATTAATTGGCCCTGGGTTTCTCAAAGCAAGCCCGATATGGTTCACACAGGTATCTTTACTCAACCCCAACACCCCTTTCTTGTGCACCACGGTATGACTTGTATGCATTGATTACATATGGGGCAAATTTGATGAGATTACCCCCCCCCCCCAAGTCTCTTTCTGAAGACCCCAAGAGGAAGAATATCAATACGCTTTTATTGGGAGCAACTTAAAATCAGAAATGTGAAGTCTCTTTTAAGTCTTACAGAACTCTCACTTAACGTTGAAGCTAACCTAAAGGGAAAAGAGAGAGAAATGGATGTTGATAGTTACAAAATATTTCCTGAATCAGGGAGATTTCATTTATACTTCCACTGCCACCTGATTCTCCTCTGCCCTGTATCCCATCCTAAGCACTAATGTATCATTTTCAACAGTTTAATAAACCCCAAAGTCATTTCTTTCCTTGTAAACTGAGATGGACAACTTTTATGACCTAAGTTTGGTGTAGTGGTTATAAGCAGCAGCAGAACTCTAATCTAGACAACTGGGTTTGATTCCACATGAAACCAGCTAGGTGATCCTGGGTCAGTCACAGCTCTCTCAGCCCCACCTACCTCACAGGGTGTCTGTTGTGGGGAGGGGAAGGGAAGCCACTTTGATACTCCTTCTGGTAGTAAAGGGCCAGGTATAAAACCAACTCTTCTTCTAAGAGGAGGAGGAGGAGGAGATTGGATTTATACCCCGCCCTTCACTTGGAATCTCAGAGCGGCTTACAAACTCCTTTCCCTTCCCCTCCCCACCACAGACACCCTGTGAGGTGGGTGGGGCTGAGAGAATTCTGACACAAACTGCTCTTTTTCAAGGACAGCTGTGCCAGAGCTTGTGACTGACCCAAGGTCACATCAGCAGGTGCAGGTGGAGGAGTGGGGAATCAAACCCGGTTCTCCCAGATTAGAGTTCGCACACTTAACCATTACACCAAACTGGCTCTCAAGAGTCACCCTCCCCCAGAATCTTCCTGTGAAGATGGATGTTTGAAGTATTTATACCCTACTGTGTTCTCTAAGGGGACACACAGCATCTGGTCCTGGATTTGTTGGCTGGCTCAGTTGAAGATCCCAGCCAACAAGAGTCCTTTGGCTCACACCTCTGGCCACCCCAAGCTTTGTAATTTACCTGGAAAGGAAAGAAAGCAAACACAGCTTCAACAAAAATGTTTAACAGTTGGTAAAGATGTTCCTCTCAGTCCTTTCCTCCCTGTTGGAGTGCCAGCTAACAAAGTGAGGGGAGGAGGGAGAGCACTTACTTACCCCAGTCCCTTGGGTACAGAACTAGCCATGAGTCTTGACACAAATGGTGCTGTTTGCCATGTGTTCCTGAGGGTCGCGTCCCTCTGATCCAGACTGTTCCTGCACAATCATGTCAGTGTTGGAAATAGTTTTTGTTGTGAACATTGCGATGTACTTAGCCACTCAAGCAAACCAAGTCCCTTTCACGTAGGTCTTTTGCAGGTAGCCATAGGCCCCCAGTAAGGGTGAAGCCACCTGATCTGCTGCCCTGGGTGGTAAACAACCAGTGCCACAGTCAAACAGGCAGGGCAGGCTCCCTTTTTTATTTTATAAGGGTGGAAGTTCTGCTCCAAAGGCCTTGACTTCTTGCCCTGAGGGTTCCCTTCTGGGGTGCACCCACATTCAGTCAGTGATTTCCAGACACAGCTTCAAGGTACAGAGCAACTTTATTAGTCCAAGGAGTGTTGCACAAGACATGAATCACTCAGACAGAAAAACAGAAAAATAAAACTTTCTGTTTCTAACTAAAAATCTATCTAAGGACTTTTAAGCCCTACTGCCTTTAGATATCTTCAGGTAGCATTCTCCAGTGGTTATCTCACCCATCCAGCAAAACAGATTATTCATGCTTGACAACCATCCCTCAAGGAAGTAATCAGTCATTGAGAATCCGTAGAGTTGAGAGTGTGTAGCCAAAATCCACCTTTTTCCAGCACTCACTAGCCAATCTAAGACTGATCAGTTAATTGGCATCTGGTGTAAAGGAAATTAGGTTGGTGACTTAGGAGCTCTACAGAGCAATTTCCCAAGGGGGAAGGCAAAACTGCTCTGCAGCTGTTTCAGCAGACAGAAGCTAATCAAGCCAGAATTCTGGCAACACTTAAGGTTTCAAAGAAACTCCTACCCAAACCTTACCAGGACCTTAGATCCGAATTCCCAACTTCATTACACTTCTCCCAGGCAAGGATTTCTCCCCCCCCCCCCCACACACACCCCGGGGGTGGGGGCTCCCTGCGGTCCCCGCCCCTTTAGACCCAGCCCAAACAGTGTGTTCAAAACTCCCATGACTTGCCAGGTTCCATGGGCCTCCAGAGTGACCAGGGGCCGCATAATATATTTCCCCTCTGCATCCACATTGGGATAGTTCCCCAGTTGAGGACTCATCAATGGTCCCTCTAAGCTGTGGAGTCTTGTAAGCAAAAATTCT